ATTTTCCACATTATAATTACAAATTAATCACCATTAATTACCATTAATTGGAGAGGGACACATGTCAGATGCATAGGATGCCAAATGACATGATAATAGAGCTTCTTAAAAAAAACCTTGTCATATTATATAAGATTAGAGGAAAAAATGACCAAAAAGTCCCTGTGTGAGAGGAGTATCTGCGTGAGAGAATGAGAGAGTAAGACAAAGTCAAAGGGAGAGGGTCCACCAAGAGAGAGAAAGGAAACATCATTTCCTTTTGTTTATTTAATTATTATTGACTTTATATTCATTTTCTTCTTTAATCTCTCTTTCTTTTCGCAACCTTCTTTAATTTCTCCACTAGATTGATAACCCGTGCTTCGCCCGCGTGATATATTTTTAAGTTTTTGTATGTGTGTTTGTATTATAAAGTTTGTTTTAGGGTTCAAGTTAGTATGAAAGTATTAGGTTCTTATACAGTTTGTTTCACTATAAATTTGTTGTTGTTGTTTAATAGTTTAAGATTATATAACATGTGCTGCGTCCGGGCGAAGCACGGGTTATCAATCTAGTGGAGAATTAAAATAGTATAAATCTTTTTTAGGTCCTTGTTTATAATGCATGCAAATTAGATAATGTTCAAAATTATTACTCTATAAATATTAAGTAGGAAAAAAAATTTCTTAAATTTGTTTATCGGATTTAAACTCGGACATAAATGGAAACTCTTTTTCGATTTTTAAATTTCTGTCCCATTCCCGTAAGATGTCGTCCTAAATTCTCGGTCCTATCCCATCCTGTTCCTATCTCAGATTTAAATTGGGGTATAAATAAAACTTCTTTTTTGATTTCTAAATTTTCGTCTCGTTCCCGTATAAAATCTCGTCCTAAATTCTCGGTCATGTACCATTCCGTTCCCGTCTCGAATTTTAACTGGAGCATAAATAAAACATCTTTTTCGATTTCCAAATTTCTGACCCGTTTCCCATTCTGTAAAATCCCGTCCAAAATTCTCGGCCCCGTACCATCCCATTCCCGTCTCAGATTTTAATTGGGGCATAAATAGAACTTCTTTTTCGATTTTAAAATTTCTGACCCGTTTTAGTTCCCGTAAAATCCCGTTCAAAATTTCTAGTTTGATTACTTTAAATTATTATGAGTTCCATTTTAAATTATCATGATTCATGATTAGAGTGATTTCAATAATCTCGTCCTAAATTCTCGGTCCCGTACCATCCCGTTCCCGTCTCGGATTTTAACTGGGGCATAAAAAGATCCTTTTTTCGATTTCAAGTGGAATGAATCTTAAGAAACCATATATATATATATATATATATATATATAGCACGTGCTCTTTTAAAATTTTATTGATCCATAATAACATTCAACTTTATTCTAAACTCCATTTTGGATTAATATTCTCTTATACCATATCACCACCAAATCTCTACTCTTTTTTTATGTCCCAACACACCTATTTCTCAAAAAAATTTGACTTCTAAGGATAAGGATGAATGTCACAATATGGTAGCAATTTTCTATGTGTTTCTGATTAATGAACTATAGAAAAAAAAATTTGAAGGAAAAAAAAAAAAGAAAAAATAAGCAAAACATAAGCATAATATTATATTTTTTTTCTCCGATTGAACCATCAATCATTTCATCGATCGATATGAATACTTCGTCCAATCGTCGATATGATCACTTCATTGTTCGATCCATCAGATATAACCTTTCGGTCGAAAGGTAGCATGCGCATTAGTTAGTTTGAGTCTCAGTGAATCTATTCCGATTCCAGAGATACTCGCCGAGCCACACCTCCTTTTCTACCAAACAGTTTATTTCGTGGTGTGTGGATTGTGTTGTGATGTAAAGCATATAAGCAACAATAAAAAAAAAAGTTATAGAATAAATTTGGGCTATTAAATAAAAGAAAGTAAAGAAAAAATGGATGATTTTTATATATAAGATGTTATGGTAATTATTTAAATTTTAAAATATTGATAAATTATGCATCCTTAGGAAAATTATATATTTTACATACTAAATTTTTTTTTGTATGTAGCATATAAATATATGTATGTGAATAACGCTAATTGAAATAGATATTATCATATTTGATACATCCTTAAAGAAAAATATTTCTCTACTAAATGTTTTATTGTATGTGAATAACGCTAACTAAAACATATATTAGTGTATTTAGCTTTGAAAAAGACACATTTCAAAAGGAAGATATATTAGTGTCAGATTCTCAATGCTTAAACTTTGTAGAAACCTTATTTTATTGTATAAGACTAGAATGATTTGGTGTTCTTGATGACTTTGGGAATAAAAAAATTTCTTTTTAAAAATGTTTTATTTATATGCTTTTGCGGACAGTTGACTTTCATCACATGAACAAAGAGGCTTTGACGCAGCAATACCTAGTTGCAAATTAAAGAGAAGAACATGATATGGTGAATTAGAACAGAATTCTCATTTGCCAGTTCCGAACTTCTTGTTTAAAACATGATATGGTATATTCATGGTCCATGATCTAAATCTTCATGTTCCTGCAAATCAAGTTTCCTTAAAGAATCATTAAACAAGACTCCACTCCTTCACGTGTTACTCAAGTAATAAGATCAAAGATCCTAAGCTAGTTCCCATTGCATTTTAGAGAGGACAGAGAGATAGGGAGAGTAAAAACAATGTCTAGGCGAAGTAGGAGCCTAGGAGGACGAGGTTTTTGAGCACAAAGACAAAGCAAGATTGCCATTAGATTTTCTTCCATCAATCACATGATTCATATTCTGACAAGCTCTCATCGCTGCTTCCGCTTCCTTATATGTCACCTGATCAATCAAAACCAACTTTTAGAAATAGGGAAACTTTATCTAAGAAACATAAACGAAGAAGAGAGAAGAAGAACATACAAAACTTAATCGAACGTGAGTAGCTATAAAGGTTATGCAATTTAGATTCTACTTGAGGAAGCAAATGAATTTACATATCATGATGTTGAGAAAGGAAAAGATTTCGATTGGTTTAGACCTAGCTAAGTGTAGTTGATGGTGAGCCAAAAAACAAAAAAAAATCTGGCTAAGCTATATATGTGTCGTTTAGTCCACCCTTCTAAAATGACTGAACATAACCGTGATTTAAATTTAAAACTAATAGTAACAACTTATGTCCAAAAATTAAACAAGCATTGGACATAAACACACAATGATTAGAGAAGGAAGTGGTTCGAGCATGGCATGTTCTTCCCATTCACCTTTTAGGTTTGACTGCCAACCCCTCACCATCCCATCATTTGTAATGATGGCTAAAGATATGCCATTCAATCCCATTCCATCTGTCAAACCTGAACAAGACACGAAAAAGAACATCTAAGTATCGTTATTTAGCAATATATGCCTGAATAAGAATATATATATCAAATGTAGGAGAGTCGACCAAAATTAGACCCTATAGTTTTATTCTCATCAATCTAACTAACACTGAATCATAAGATTTATGAAAGGTTAGTTAGTTCTTCAATTTAATACCTCGCCTTGATGGCAAGATAGGTAGACAGCTTTCTTACCTAAAGTGTTCCTTTAAGATCAGAAGCAAGACCAACATGACATATTGCTAAGAATTAATGAGTTGCAACCGAAAAAATGTTATGAATTTACAAAGTTCGATGATCTGAAGTAAACATTTTGGAGTTACCTTTTTGTACATATACCTGGGAAATGACAGTTTCGAACATATCATCAGGAAGTTTGAATCAAGGAGGCCTCATTTTGATTGACATGCATTGTAAGGAAGAAGTAGAGAGTGTAGCATTGTGGCATCATAACTAAAAGATAAGAAGAAAAGAAGTTGTTATGATCACTACTATGACCAAGTCTAGTCAAATAAGTGTGCACTATAGTAATAGTAGCAAATAATCATATTGCTAAGATCTGAACCTCATATCCGCATAGTCCAATACACAGAATCACATTAGTAAATTATAGAAACCAAAGCTTGAAGATTCATGTGAAAGGCTGAATTCATGAAGATATGGTAAAGCAAAAAGACTGGAAAATGTGGTTTATACGGGAGGGAGTCGATAGTGAAACCGGATGAATTGTAAATTTTATATTCTTACCGGAACTCCTTGTATCAGCGAGATAGCATGGACTGGGCGACTTCAAGTGATTAAACCTATGCGAAGACAAGTTTGATATTTGTGGCGTCACTTCTTGTTACTGGTGAACAAAAGTGTTACGATTGACCCACAAAGAAGCAAAAAGACCATATAGTATAAGCTAATGAATTTCGAATAGAAATAAGATGGAGAAATAAGCAATTGACATTCATAACCGGAGACATTCTGGTAACCAACAGTAAGAACACTACAAGAAATATCTACATTATTAACACGAGAAAAAAACTATAATACGTCATTAATAGCGTTTTCATAAACGCTGTTTTATGCCCCTGTTATGGTAGACCCCCTATATACGATAGCGTTTTTAGATATGCTATTAAATGTCGATTTATTATAGCACTAATCGAATGTTCTAATATACTTTATTGTAACACACGTTTAATGCTGTTTTATGTAGTATTATAGCATATTTGTTTCGCTATACAAATTTAATTTAATTTTTATATAATTGTATATTTGAACCCTATTTTGCAAGATTTATTTAATTGAATTTATATAATTTATTTTTATTACATAAATTATTAAAAACATACATAACAAGTCTTATACAAAAATTCAACTACTACTCTTATACACAACAAGAGTACTAATATCTCAAAGTACAAAGAGTAAACAAATCACCATGAAACAAAAGAAGAAACAAGATAATAAAGCAACTCAATTCCCCAGTCATAGACTTCCACTTTTCACCACCGATCTTTGAAACCTACAATCATATATAAATAGCACAGTTAGGTAAATCTCATAAACACTAAACGTAGGAGTCAAGCATAGCAATGAGCATAGCTAAAGTCTTACATCCTTAATGAGAGAACTTAGATGCTCTCGTCTAAAAGAATGACATAATTTATTCCTGCAAAGTGAAAGGCAACATCAGCAACATCCCTAAAGAGTAAACAACTATCAACAAAAGTAAGTGTGAAACGATGAACATTACATGAAGATAAAGAAGCCGTAAGAGGTTAGGGCATGTTTAAGGTAGAAGAGCTCTTCTTCGTATCCTTGGCCTTTCTAAGTCTCTTTGGCTTAGGTTCATCAGATGTCGACGTCTTCCTGAAAAACACAAAATACAATAAGGAGTTTAAAAGACAAAGAGATGAAATATAGGAAGCTCTTGCTCTAAAAGGAAGCTCTTTTCTTTTGGCTTTCTGATATTGATATACCTAGACAAAGAAAACCGCAATTGAATAGACGGAATTGTGGCCAAAACACACATATGAATCAATGACCAAAGGAGACATGCACATAGTGAAAACAACTCATGAAGATGAAAGTAACATAGCTAATGGTCAAATATATAAATAATGTTTCTCATTACTTAATCAAAGAGATTTACAGAGAATATATAGAGGTATACAACAAGTTATAGTTCCACAAAGAAGGAAACAACTAGGAAACGGAAGTGGTGGAGGCAAGAGCAACAAACTCAACACAAAATTCAAACAATCCATAGATTAGATTAGCCAAACTGCGATTAGAACAGCAATCAAAAAGACAAAACTTTTACCAAAAAACACATATAAATAATTGACACAAGGAGACACATAACAACAAAAAGTCCATGTCTAAAGATGAGATTTTGGAAGAATTTAACAAAGTTAATGGGTCAATTAACACATTAAGAGATTAAGAATTTGAGTGTTTAGTTTATCAAGCAAGAGCAATGATAACAACACCAGCACAAAGAGGCAAAATACCATTACTAAAAATCTTAATAGCAATAGCCCTACCAATAACTTCATCATCTGCCCTGAAATATTCAAAAAAACATATAAATCAAGGATGAGACATCAATGGCTAGATAACTAATCCCATGTGAATGATGACATACAAAATCCGTCTTTACGGTCAAAACTAGAAAGAAAATAATATCCATCTACACAACATGATTGGGGGTTTGGTAAGAAAAATACATAAGGCATCGAGCTTACTTGTTGAAAGTCAATTCGGAAGCTGAAGACTACAATAGATAGAAATGAAAATTAATGTCAGACAATAAAATATGCGATTAGTTCGTGGGACAATGATATATTCTCAGATCTAAAATGGCGATATCGAAAGTGGTAGAAAAGATCCCATAAATTAAAAAGAGGATTTTGGGCCAAAATTTTTGGCGTCACCTGAGATTGAGAGAGGAGATCGGGACTCGAAGCAAAGAAGAACCCTACATAGATGGCGATTTCCTCTACAAATTTTCTAAGCCGCCTGCGTTATCAATTTCGTTAGAGACGAAATCATAAGGAACAAATTCAACTAAAATTAGATAAACCCTAGATACCCTTTCAAAACCACCGGAGACTGTGCATAGGTCGAGAAAAACATGGGAATAGAGGAGAAAAGAGCACGGGCGTGAAGTTGGGAAATGGCCGGAGGCAGTCGATCCGATTGAAGCCATCACCGGAAAATGCAAGCTGCATCTCTTGAAATTGATCTCGATTTGTCAGGTACACAGACGGAGGAGGTGGCTGGTCTCGCCGGAAGAAATCGCCGAGATGAGTGACAAGGTGGATCTGAGATATGAGAGAACTTTCTTAGAGAAGAAGAGACCAGTTAACACTTCGACGAGTTAAGGGTTATGACTTCAGTTTTTTTTTTCTTTTAACTTGTGGGCGCTAAGTCTAAAATTTTGGGTAAATATTGGCCGCCACAAGTGATTTTAGCTTTTCACTTAGTTAATTTTATGCTTAGCGTTTTAGAAACGCTATGATAGACTAATCTAACTTTCGGTACTAACTTTAATAGCAGTTATGGAAAATGAGCTATTGTCATGTGCTATCAATGTTCATTTTTCTTGTAGTGGAATTAGATCATAGAGACACCTTTTTCTTTTATTTTTTTGACATGTAAAAGTAAGAATAGACACACCTTTTTCACTGCACGATTATGATTTTAGTGTGTAATATGTTGTCCTGGAGAAACCAACTGCGGGAAATAAATCTAGACACTTTAGCCACTTTGTTCTACGCTCCTGCGACCTAACTCACGCTAATGAAGACGTTTACGTTACTACTCCTTCATCTCTGCAACATCTCCTCTGTTTGGAAAACAAATTCTAAAGCTTACCTCAGGGAAAAATACGAATCAGAACCTAATAAAAGCTAGAAAATATCCAATCACTAATCCGAATAAAAAGAAATCCCATCGAAAATAACAGTAAATATAAATTAGATATAGTCTAATGCAAACCTGGAGCAAATTCGAAAGAAAAGGGCTTTGTTAGGGAGATTGAATCTCCAAAGTGGGAGAACGAAGATTGAGGTTGAGGGAGCTTAAGAAATCCGAAAGAGACAAATATCAATTCACAATTTCAATCACTCAGAACCTGTGTACGTCCGAATCTCAAAGAAAATAACAAAACAAAAATGAGTAAAAGAAGTATATACACGCATGAAAAATTAGTCTTAGCCGTCGCTAAATTATGGTAGTGAGGAAGTCGACACTTGTTTCTCTACTTCCTCCTCCTACTTTCGGATTCGTTTTGTATTCCAACCAATCAAAATCCTTTCTCTGTCAGTTGCGTGAAGTTTTCTTCTGCAAAACAGATTTAAAGAAATTGAATCGCATCTTAAGTTACAGAAACTGCAGATTGAGAGTAATGGAGGAGGAAGAGAAACGGCTGAAGGTGAATCGAGAGTGGCGTGTGTAATGCAAAGCATTGTGATTGGTTTGCAGGATAAAAGAAGAAAAAAAAAAATCTTCACACGTGGCATTCTCTGCTTTGCTGACGTGTCAGAAATCTGGAGAGAATCAACCTTCTTTCATATATATGATTAGATTGGAAATTTACATCAATAACCAACAAAAATTTAATAATTCACTAACTAACCAAAACAAAAAAACTGGATAATATTCAGTATATTTTCTATAATATTTGCCATTATACCCTTGTTTCTTACCATCTTTTCACTCTTCTTTTTAACTATACTATTTATTTCTACCATCAACGTAATTTACTATCACACCGTCACCACCGTAACCTTTTATCATGGTCGACTTCATCGAAGTCATAATCACCACCACATCTCGTTCCATTTATAAACACCACCACCACCATTTTCACCATGTCATCACCACCATCTCCACCACAACCACCACCACACCATCACCGCAAGTCCGCAACCACTATCACACCGTCACACCAGCACGCTGTTAGAGAGAAACCTTTCGTCATCGTCGACCTCCTCAAAGTGATAATGGCCACTACGTCTCGTTCCATTTATAATCACCACCACCACCACAACCATTAGTCCATTACCACCATGTCATCACCACCATAGTCTCCGCGACGCAACCATCACCACCATGCCATCACCAATACCAGTCTACCACCACCACACTATCACTATTACCGTAACCACCACCACCACACCGTCTCCAGAATCATCATAGCCACTACGCTTCGTTTCTATACTGTTTTCACTTTATTCTATACTATTTTATTTATGTCAAACTATTTACTATTTTAAAAAATACGTATCCGATTTAAAAAATCCAAACTATATCATATGTAAAAAAAGAAAATATGATTTTTAGCAGAATCACAAAATTGAATAAATTCTTACAACAATTATTAAAGCAAAAAAACTTGCCATGGGGTATAATTATTTTTTGCTCCATGTAGGATAGAGAAATCATTTTTGCCTCTCACCAAAACCCAAAATGGTAATTCTCACCTACTTTGTGCTATTGACTTAGGCCTTGAATGGTAGTAGATTCTACACTAGTTTTTGGATTTTGTTTTTCAAAAACCCATTTTTTTTCCATTCAAGATTTTAAACAAAATAGATTCCCTAAAAACTAGGGAAACCAGATTTTGGCAGATTTTAGCTTTTCTTCATAGAATCCAAAAACCAAGTTTTGTGGGTTTTTCCAACAATTTACGTCACATTTTTTTTTTCAATTTTTTCTTATTATTTTAAATATTGTTTTATTCAAATTTTTCACCATTTACCAATTCATTTAAAACTAAAACCCTATTCTATGGGTTTTTCCTCAAGACTTGCGGTCATTGCAATTCATTTGCTTTTTTTATGCATTATTGTTTTGGCATTACTTATGATATTTTTATTTTATTTCTATGTAAACATTGGTTTTATTTACCAAACCTATGTTTATATGCAATATACCTATGTTTAATTTTTTCCTACATCTTTATAATTTTTTTTATTATTAAAATTTTTATTTTCAATATTTTAGTAATTTTTAAACACAAAATATAAACCAAAAATTAAAATATATATCTTAAAAACGTTTGAAAATTAATATTATGTAGAAAAACTAAAAACTAAACAAATTACCATTCAAGATTTTGCAAAAACTAAAATTTACACCAAAAATCAAAAACCATAAAAATCAAAAATCAAAATCCAAAAACTAGAATCTAAAAACCAATAAAAACTACCAAACATTCAGGGCCTTAGGGGGGTGTATTTGAGTAAAGATTTAGGAGTATTTTGTGGAACTTAGGAAATTTGGGATTTGAAGAGATATTGTGAGTTTTTAGGATACTTTCGTTGGAATTGTTAGATTTTAATTTTAAAAAGGAAAAAATAATTTGTGATTTGGTGAGATATTAAACAGATATTATTGAATGATTTGGTGAGATTTTTTCAGAACAAAAAGGAAAAATTGGATTTCAATTAAAACGGAAGTGACGTAACTCGATCGTAGCAAAAACAAATTCCATTGATGTACCATTCCAAAGCTCAAGTCACTAAAATCACCATCAACAAGTACCAAGTGCAAAGAGCCAAACTATAACAATAAGAATTCTCTTTGCAATGTCGTTTGTGCTTTTGAAACATGTCGTTTGATTAAAAACGCTATGACGTGATGGAACTGATCAAAGATGGGAAGGCTTGCTTTGGAGAAAACATGTTGTGGTTGTGATTCTGAGATAGTTTACGCCTTTGTGTTACAACTTCAATATTGAAAACTTGGACGACGAAGACAACGAAGACGATGGCGTTGGCGACGACAACAAGGACGACGAAGACGATGGCGTTGGCGATGCTACCTGCGGGCTTAAAGGTGGTGGAGTCGGAGTGATTCTCGATGTATATGAGATTAGCGGCGGTACAGATCTGATGGTCGGAAGTGAGACGATCTCTCATGTTTGAAAACCCCTGTTTTGTTTTCAAGAGTGATGAACACCAGAAGAGTGAAAGAGAGGATTTTTTTCTGTGATTTTTTTTTTATAACAAATTCTTCCAAATACCACCTTTGAAGGTGTGATTTTTTCTATTGGGTTTAACATGTAAAAATGTATACAAAGTCTCTCAAAATCAGTGTTGTGGATTTTTTTCAAAAAAAATTATGTTTTCAATAACCGTTGATTTGATATAAGTTTTACAAATTGTTGATTGAATAACAAGAGATTGCAAGTGATTTTATAGAAATTTCAATTTCAATAACATTAGATTTGGGAAGTGATTTAAAAATCACAAGTTGAATAACAGGTCATTTAAAGAAAATCCCAAAAATTTCTAAAATCCTAATTTCAATACATCCCCTTAATTTCTAAGATTATGATGCTATATTCTTCATTTGCTTATCAAATATGGTTATACACCTAATTGACCCTAAATAGTTTGACCTACTTTTTTTTTTGCCAATAAAAAGTTGAATAATAGTAAGGTCCGATAGGCCCAGTAAAAAGCCCACAAAAGCCCTTAATCCAATATATTCACATTCCACTGCTCACAAAGTCACCACCACTTCCCGTCCTCTCTCTCCAGTCACTGTTTCCGAAGCCCTAACGTTTTCAAGGTCGCCGATTCATCACCAAAGGAGGCGTTTTTACACTATTGCCGTTCAACACATGGCGGAGGAAGATGTTGTCGCTATTCCCGTGCAGCCATCTGATCACAAGCGCAAGCTTGAGAATCTTGAATCGGAGATCCTCGAACAACATCATGAAGTTTCTGTAGATGGTGGCAAAAACCCATCTGATTATTGTCAACCGAAGCGACCGAAGCTTGACGATGAAGCTACTGATGGTTTAGGTATGTCTAATTCCTTTCAAAGTATGGATTTTGGGTGGATTCATCTTAAAAAGATTTCACATTTGTTCTTATTTCGTTTAGTATGAAACTTGAATTCTCATTGGTCCTTGTTGCGGCATTGTGATGTAGGTGTTGAGGAGAGGCCTGAGGAGGCGGGAACTGTGAAACCCATTGCTCAGAAAGATGAGAATCAAGACGGTAAACCTCTAATTGAGGAAGTTGAAGAGCCCATCAACACGAATGAATCTGAAAATAAGAAGGGTGATAATGGTAAGCCTGAGGATAACCAACCAGCTTCTGTTGAGGCTGCAACTTCCCAGGAAGTTTCTGTTGAAGAAAGTAAGGAAACGAGTGATGCCAATGCTCAGAAAGAAGTTGAAAACGGAAGCAAGGAAGTTAATGATTGTGACTCTAAGAAGGAAGATAACAGTGAAAATAAGGAAGCTAATGCTGGTGGCGAGAGTAAGGAAGTGAATGGCAGTGGCTCTCATGAAGAGATTGGTGACGAGAGTAAAGAAGTGAATGGTGGTAGTACTCATAAGGATGTTGATGATACACAGTCCACGACTCGCCGAATAGATGTCCCGAGTTCGAAGGTGACTTGATTTGGTTTTCCTTTTGACTCTTATGTGAGTAAGTCTTACTGAGTTTTGTTTTTCAAATATGTGCACTCGTCATACTTGACAGGTTGGTACACTTATTGGTAAAGGTGGGGAGATGGTAAGGTATCTTCAGGTCAATTCTGGTGCTAAAATCCAAATCCGGAGGGATGCAGAGGCTGATCCAAGTTCAGCTTTAAGACCGGTGGAGATAATTGGAACTGTTGCTTGTATCGAGAAAGCAGAGAAGCTTATCAATGCAGTCATAGCAGAGGTTTAAAGTTTTCTTTGACATTAGTGTTGGTTTCTTTTTTAATTCACAATTTTTTTTGTTATCTATTCTAAGAGTTGGCTACTTTTTTTCTTCTGCTGCCATCCCAGGCTGAAGCAGGAGGTGTACCTGCCCTTGCTGCAAGGGGTGTCCCAGAACAGATGGAGATTAAAGTTCCGAATGATAAGGTAGACCCTGGTAGTTTTTCTGCTTGGCCAACTTTAAGTGATATTAATCCATCTCGACCGACAGGTTGGTGTGATCATTGGCCGAGGTGGGGAGACTATCAAGAACATGCAGACAAAGTCGAGAGCACGCATTCAGGTGGTTACTTCTATTCAATCTTGAATGTATGGAGAGTACAGAGAAAGATTGTGACAATATTGCTTGTTCTGTGTAACGGCTGACTAAAATAGTTTTCATATAGTTAATACCACAAAATGAAGGTGATGGATCTAAGGAAAGAACTGTTCGCATTTCTGGTGATAAAAGGCAGATTGATATAGCCACAGCTTTGATAAAGGATGTTATGTACCAGGTTTGTCTTCTGATGTTATTTCTCTGAACTATGTCATTGCTTTTAGTTTTTGCAACCATGTAAATTGAAGCATGTGAGTGTTTAACTGTTTTTTTCATTAATCTTGGTGCACGTTATGTCTGGTATACTGAGATGTTTGATAATTATATCCTGATGTTTGTTTTGGCTTAATCGTCACCAATGCAACTTCATAATTAATAGAGGTGAGGTGATAAATCTGTGTTTTCGTGTTCGTGCGATCTGTTTGCTAATGTTCTCGTTTATGCAATCTCTGTAAAACTAGCTAGTTATCTATGATCAACTATAGGTCCATTGCCTTAATCATGTTGTTCATTTTAAGCTGATTGACATTCGATTTATGTTTTTGGGGCTTAGTCATTTTGATTGTGGATTATTTTACTGTTTTACTGCAAAAGCTCTGCTGTCTTAGTTTGAAGTTCAGTGCAAATCTATGCGGGCTCCCCTGATTTAGTGAATAGCTGCATATTCATGTCCTAATGGAGTACTTGGTTCATGCTGCTGAAATTAGAAGGATAGCTTGAGAAAATATGTACATATTGTAAGAGAGATGATCATTTTCTCCTGTTAAGAAGATCATATGTTCCATCCTCGATGTCACTTGCCATGATATTTAAAATTAAAGGTGTCGATCTCGAATTGGTGTTGGCTTTAAAAATGCAGATGTGGCTATTACCTTTCAATTGGGGGTCAGCATTGCCTTGTTGGTGTACAATAGACATCACCCAGGTCTACGGATGAAGGTATTTGGCAGTTCTCATTCACGCTTGCAGGTTCTAGTAGTCGGTAAGGCTGCTTTCGTTCTTTGAAAACTTCAGGACCTTAGTGTGAGCATGGATATATTACAGTACCGTTGTGTAAATCTAGCAGCAAGACTTTCATGGCCTATGGCGCTTGCTCTTATTTGATTAACGACATTGAAGAGAATCTAGAATATATATGTCAACCGCCAAGTTTGCAATGTGAACAGAACTTTTTTTTTAGTACTCCTGCTACAACCAAGTGCATAAAAATTGCGTTAGGTATGCTCAGATGATAATGGAATTACTTAAGGGGAGCCTGGAGACCTTTGTGCTTACTGTTAATGATCAGCTCTAGTATGATTACAAGCATGTACTGCAGTTTTAGGCTAGGTACTAAGTTGAGGCCAAACTTTATGTTCAGCTTGAAACAACTTGGAATGCTATTGACAGCGGAATTATATGCAGAGTTACCACTTTTACTGCATTTGATAATTTTTGGCCCATGTCATGTTTCCGAATACCATCTGCATATGATCTGTTTGATGAAAGTCTTTGCTGTCTTGCTATAATATTAGTCGTATCCTCTTTTTCGAATATTTTGTCAACTAAGAGATTTTATTGTATGGCATTTTTAAGTTAAAGATTTAATAACATTGCTTTCTTTCTGTCAGCTGTGTGATATGTTATGTCCACTTTCTTTTTCGTTGAAAGAGGTTTCATTGTTGTATGTTTTGTAGGATGGAAGGCCATCGCCATATTCTGGTGGTTTTAACCAGTCGGCTTACCAACCTCGAGGACCAGGTGGTCCACCTCAATGGGGTTCGCGTGGTCCTCATGGGCCACATTCATTGCCATACAATTACCACCATGGTGGACCGTACTCGTCTCAAGGCTCACATTTCAGACCTCCCAATTCTGGCGGCTATCCTCCACAACATATGCCTCCTAGAAGTGGATATGGTTCTGGTTGGGAACAAAGACCTCCACATTCTGGTCCATATGATTATTACGGTAGGCAAGGAGGTCAAAACCCAGGCCCTGTGCCCTCCCATGGTGCTCCTTACTCCCAGGCAGGTGCTCAGCAGACTTATGGGCAGATGTATGATCAGCCACACTATGATAATCCTCCTATGCAGCAATCTTATGGAGGATATGGAGGCTCCCAACAGGGATATCCATCAGTAGGTGGTCAGCACCAAATGCAGCAGCCAAGTAGACCTTACGGGATGCAAGGATCAGCTGAACAAGGATATGGGCCTCCAAGGCCAGCAGCACCTCCTGGTGATGTGCCTTACCAAGGTTCAACTCCCGCAGCACCATCGTATGGTTCGACACCAGCAGCACCGTCATATGGTTCAACTCCCGCAGCACCATCGTATGGTTCAAACATGGCTCCACAACAGCAATATGGATATGCATCAAGTGTGCCTGCTCAGCAAACTTATCCTTCATACAGCTCTGCGGCACCATCTGAAGGTTATAATGGTACACAACCACCAGCAGTTGCCCCAGCTTATGAGCAGCACGGTGGTCAGCCAGCTTCTGGTGTGCAACAAACTTCAGTTGGGTATGGGCAAGTACCTCCAACCGGTGGTTATAGTTCGTATCCCTCCACACAGCCGGCTTATGGTAATGCCCCAGCTCAGAGCAATGGAAACTATGGATACACTGGCTCTCAATATCCTAGCTACGGAGGTGGAAACACGTCAGCATATGCTGCACCTGCTGGCCAAACTGCTTATTCCCAGACTGCACCTGCTCAGGCGGGCTATGAGCAATCTGCAACTCAATCAGCTGGCTATGCAGCTGCTCCAGGAACAGCACAGTGATATCATTGTCACTCAAACCAGTACGATGCAGGCCAGGCTTATGATGTTGCTCGCTAGAAGATCATTAGTAATGCAAGGTTAGTAGACTTGCATTCCTAAACTGCACATCCTGATTGAGACAGCCTCAGGTGTTTGTGTCTTCTTATAATCGTTGGATCTAAACGTGCATGACTCATTCTCCCTTTAGATTTTGCACTGTGATCTGAGTACACCCTAATTCGCTCATCTTCTGTATTGTACTGCTTCTATTGCTTAAGGTGATTTTTAAGAAGTTGTGATCATTTTACTGATTCTTGCTTCAGTTTTTTATGTTCTCATACATTTCAGTAGCGTTAGGTTCGAGAGCCTTGTTAGGGAAATATATATTGTCCTTTAAATGAAACAAAAAGATCTTAAGCAATATCTATTGCACATCCAAGACAGTAGAAAGTTTATTAACATTTGCTTGCGTCTATTAGCGGTAAAGTAATATGATGCAATTGACAAGAAAAATATAGAAAAGGGTAGCAACAATAGTAAAAGAGACCAAAAATAAGGTATGCATATCTGAACAAGACTGGATGTCCTGCGACTCATAGTTAGGTCGTGGCCTGACCTATAGGCGAACTATCCTGAGGAAGGTCTCGTACGCAGTCTGGAGGCGGTTTCTATGGTCCTTTCCCTTGGTGTTTTTTAGATAATGAGCCACTTTGATAAAGCCAGCGTGTTGTTGAAACAACACAGACGTTGCATCTTCCTCTTGTGGCTTTAGCGATACTTCTTGTTCTCTGTTAAGTTGTGGCATTGTGTGTGCCCATTGTATACCCCATATAGCTAAAGGCCTCATGTAACAAAGTGACCTATACTCATCGTTCGTGGTCCATGCCTCTGGTGTCTGAAATGCGCAGCTGCACCCAAAAATTTTTGTTAAACGAACATGATGAATCAACAAAAAGATTCTGAGAACAGCTTACCCAAGACCACGGTCGGACCAAGCGGCCTCATAGATTCCACTTGCTGTCCTAAAACCTTTCTCCGCAAGCCCTTCTTGTATCATACAAGCCGCGACCGAGTATGTAGTTCCGGCCCAAACCTCCCTCGAGACCATTGTGCTTGTGTCTACTCGTCCATCAGGTAACATCCCGTTTACAGCACCACGTGTCCCATCTCTCACTCTCATCACATTGAAGTCGTAGACTGTCTCTAATGCTTTCTTTATCCACTCTTCTTTCGCTATCGGCTTCAGTCCACAAGCTCGTGCATACCTATATACAAAACATACAAAAATCAATACTGATTTTTCACTTAAGAATTCAACTTCTAAACGTAGCATTACTCATGGTCTTTAACACTTACCATTGTCCAGCCAATTGATCAGCCAAAATCGACGAGCTCGAGCCGCTTCGACTGTTATCGTAATTGAAATAAGAACCGTTCCAAAGCTTCTCGTAAACGCTTCTAGCTTTCTCATACTTGGCGTTGAAGTAAACTGCAGCCCCGTTGTCTCCAACTTCACGGGCCAACGCAGAACCGGCCTGAAGAGCCGCGACCCAGAGACCACCGCAGTAAGCGCTAACTCCCGAGCAAGACCATGCATCATAAGTCTGATCTGGAAACCCTTCGTTCTCAATCATCCCATCTCCGTCTTTATCAAACTGGTCCAAGTAAGCGATGGCAGTGTAAACCGACGGCCAAACTGCTTTCGCAAAGTTTAGGTCACCAGTCGCAACCACGTCTCTGTAAACTTGAAGAACAAACTTGGAGTTCAAGTCTTTCCACCTATCCGTGTTGAACAAGTTATAAGCATTAACTTCAAACCATGGATCGTTCAAACCAATATCATGAGGAACAGCTCCTAGAGCTTTTCTGGTAACAAATTCGCCAGAGCTCATGACCTGTTTCTTGCTGGAATCATGCATCAGAACCGCAGCCGCGAAATCTCTCTGGATACTTAGCTCGAGTTTTGGGAAAAGCATGAGCAATGCGAAAGAAGAGTAGAAATGAACATCATAAGTATTGTACATTAGATATTGAATTCCTTCTAGGTAAAGGAATTGTCCAATGTTCTCTGAGGTGTTCTGAATCATAGTAGTTCCAAGCGCAGCATTTGAGGATAAAGGGGCATGAATCTGTGAGCAGACCGCATCGATTCTTCCCAGGATGTCTAAAGCAATGTCGTTCTGGTCTGGATCAGTATTGTCAGTGGTTGATATACTGAGAGAGATCTTTCTCCTTCCTATACTATCTAAGCTTTGCTTTGGAGGTAAACCATCTACAGCCGAAAAATCGGGTTTTAGAAAATTCAAGTTACAGAAATATATAAACTTGTGGAAGAATCAAATGTCTGTTACCAGTCCACATGGTCCCCCCTGAGTTGAAATAGTATAGTTCGTTGAAGAGAGTTATTCGATACCTAAAAAAGATTTCCGATTACTTTCTTCTACTCAGTTGGAATTTGGCAAAGAAGAAAAAGTGTTGAAGCAAAAGTTATTACCACTCAGGAAGTGTTGTGTCAGCAAGAATAGGAGCTTGCCACTCTTCAATCTGAGTTTCCCATTCAGAAAAGTCTAACAACAAGCAAGAACAAAAATAGAAAGGAGAAAGCATCATGATGTGATGATCTCTTACTTAAACTAGACTCAATGAACAAGAAATGTGAATTGTTTGCATACTTAGAAGAGCGTCGTGAGCCATTGCTACCGCTGCATTTCCTAAACTTCCGTAGAATCTTGTGTATCGTCTACAAATAGAAACTTTTTAAGTTAGTAAGAAACTTTTATATGCTGAAAGTATATATTGGATTTGAAGTCTAATGTGGTCACACCCACATACCTATGGTAAGTCTTCTCATCGAATCTAGCCTCGGGACAATCCCAAGAGAGCGAAAATGTGACTGTTCGGTCACAGCCTGGTGGAACTTTCACTTTTGCTGCTATGGCTGCTCCAATGGAAGTTCCAGGTTTTGAAGGAGAGCATGCATTGCTGGTCAACTTGTCGAATGATGCATTCTAAGAAATAAAAATGTTATAACTTACGAACTTTCTTCTGACAATAATAGGGAACACTTGCAAAAGATTAGTTTTGAAAAAAACTCTAACCTTTTTAATCTCATCCCACATATCTCCTGCTGTGATTTTGTTAGGAGTAGTGCCCGAAACTATAAAACAAGGACACGAGGAGACACGAACATCCTCTGTTTCTTTTGCCGCAATTGCGTAGCTAACTGGTGGGTGTCCATTTGCTGTCCTGCAAGATAAGTTACGGGCATACAATTCAAACAAATGATCTACACAAAATCTTCCAGTAACCGAACACGAAAACCGAATACCAAACCAATCAAAGAGTCAGAGAAAATTGTTTTACTTGTGCTGTAAGGCTACTGCATGAACTCCATCTTTTGCCCTAGAATATTCCATAAAAGAAAGAAGATACATTTCAGAAAAAGAAATCCATAGCAAAATCTGTTGCAGCATAAGGTGATGAGTCTCTTACTTCATTGTTGAGTTAAAGTGCTGTCCAGTTAATCCAGAGGCTCCTCCCACAGAATTCTAATTAACCAAAGAGACAAATGGGTCAGTTTTGTATCGATAAATATCTTATCGAGTGAAAAAAAATTCAGAATACACCAATCTTCTTAAGGTTCTTATAGGAGAGTAATTACCTCCCAAGTAAAGAGCAGAGTAACAATTGCTTGTTCTGCTCCAGTATTAGTCACCTGAAACATAACAAAACTAAATCAACAAGTTGTGACCTAAGTTATAATGTTGAGGTAAACCCGTAGAATATCCATACCGTGAAGTTGAAAACCGAAACCGGAAGACTGCTTTCCTCGTAATTATGAGGTATAAAGGGAGAGACTTGACGAGAAACTATTCTGAGTTCAGGGTCAGGTTCACCTATTCATCAAGTAAAACCACTTTCATAACCTTTATAAATCAAGAATGTACAATAGATTCATCCGTAATAAACATGGTTAGAGATGTTTAGGACGAATATTATACCATCATAGACGGTCCAAGACCTCGGATAAAGAGCATGGTAAGTAGATTTTTCCCCTGTCATGTTCCAGTCCCAAGACTCAATTCCTATATTTGGAACTTGGCCTTTGCATAAATAACCTCCATTGTCTCTGTGCAATCATATACAATAACATAATTAATATCATTTGCACATTCACTCTATTTTTTCAACTAGGGATCTGATGAAGACACAAGAAAAAAATGGACTTGGCTTACTTAATAACTTGTGGCTTTGATGGGCATAGAACGGTTGAGTGTTTAACGCCGCCAGGACGAGAAACAAAGGCCTATAGTTTTTAACAGATAAAGAAGCATGAGAGGGATACTTCACAAAGACAACAAACACACAAGAATTGGTTTACAATAGAAGAAACCATACAATGTTCATGATTGTTTACTTACAGAGAATTGGTTTGTGAGTATTGGAGCTTCCTCACAAATTTTTGGGAATAGCTTGAACTGCTGAAACTCACCCTTGTAACTCCTTCCAATGCTTCCTGCACTGAAACACGAGGTTTTTTCCCGCGGTTTTTGTGCATTAGAACATTGAAAAAGAGGACCTAAAACTCTAGAGCATTGTTACTTTGTGTTTTATGCATTTTGTGAAGCATATGTGGATCCCATACCCAATTCCTCCCAAAGGGACTCCATGATCTCCTGTTATATGGTGTTTTCTGAAGATATCGAAGATTGAAGCCTGCAGGTTTTGATAAGTTTTCAATATTTGATGAAGACAAAAAGTCATCAAATGTTTGTGAGCTTTAAAAATTGGTAGTGAAAAATATCTCTTACCCTTCCTTTTGCGGCTTCGTCTTTGGTATGACGCCACAATCTGTATCCTAATGGAAACTTTGGAAAAGCCAAAACAGAGAGAGGGAAAGAGGTTTAATTTTTTAATTTCCAAAAAACAGAGCATCTTGACCTAAAAAAGCATAACTTTTACAGCAAGAAAGAGGATTCCTCGTTTAAGAATATGTCTCTTTGATATAAAGAATCTTTAATCAAAAATCAATTTCAGCCAAAAAAAACGATGAAATTACCAGATGAAGATGATCTCGTTTACTCAATTTGAACTCAGAAGGGGTCTTTGCTTGACTGTTCAACTTTCTTTCCCATGAAAATGGAGGAAGTTTGTCATCTATGACCTATAAAGAGTTTGACCAATGATCAGAAGAAGAAGCTAAATTTCAGAATAGTAATGACCATATTGCATCACTGTTATACGTAATCATGTTTAATTATTTCTACAATCACCAAATCATTTAATACTCATGGCAATTTTAGAAAATGAAACAGAACATACAGTAATATTTTTTTTGTTTTTGGTTTTTAATGTAATAACATATAATTAGTTTTGATATAGAAAGAAAAAAACATAC